GAAGTATGTCTAATGTAAGAGCCACAGGGCAGGATGGAAAGAGATTAAGAGGGTGGGGGGGATAATCTGAGCTCAAGTCCTTCCTCTCACATTGTGTGACCCTGGGTAAGTCATCATCTCCCAGGGTCCTAGGCAATTGTCTAAGGCTATAAGTTACTCAGCTATAAGCTATAGCTATAACTTATAGCTAAGGCTATAAGTTACCATCAGCCAGTAATGATCTTAAGATTCCCAGGTCCTGGCACAGTGCCTTTGTACCCAGTAAGTCCTTAATTAATCTTTGTTGTCTTTCCTCATCTATAAAACAAGGAAGAAGGACTAGATGGTCTCTGAGCTCCCTTCTGGCTCTGGATCTACAATCCTAAGATTCCAGGCACCTAGCACAGTACTTCAGTATACAGTTGGTGCTCAGTAGAAGTTTAATGAGCTTCCTCCTCTGTAAAAAGAGGGAGCTGAATTAGATGGACTCTGAGGTCCCATCCAATTCTAGAGTCAGCACCCTACAAGCATGACCCGCCCCCATGGTCAATCCCCACTCAGTGCCCTTTGTACAATATAAGCTCAAACTACTGACCTAATTATACCAAAGGGACTGCTTGGTTCTCTGGCACACACTCAGATGCGCCCCTCCCCTGGGGGTCATAATTCATTCCTATACTTATGTTTATATGTTTATGTTTATATTAATTATGTTTATACATAATTGTGTTTATACATAATTAATTATATGTATACATAATTGTGTTTATACATAATTAATTATGTATATATGTATGTTATATATTATATATCACATATATTATTATTTTGTATATGTATATGTGTGTATATTATAGACATATATAATATGCATGTATGTATACACTATATTATGTATATATAATTAATATACATAATATCCCTATACTCATTAGCTGAGTACTATCTGTCCAGATCTCGACGCCAAGTGGAAACACCGAGGCAGTACCCTCTCACTATGGAGGGTAGACCAAGCCCAGGTTTGCAAAGTTATTAGAATGCTCACTCCTAGAACTCAGAGCCATAGAGGACCCAATAGGAATCCGTCTGCAGTTGGAGTATCTTCCATTCCTCATTTCTCTGTTCTTGTCCCCATCCCTTTTGAATGTCCAGCCCCAGGCAAGCACAGCCTTGCTGTGCTCTAGACCTATTCCCAGCTCAGCTTTTCCTCTATTTGCTGGTCTTCTCCACTCTGAAGCCACTGAGGTGGTGGCCCCCTTCATCTTGCTGCTGTAGCTACCGGGCCTTGCCCATCCACCAAGAAATACCACTCTCTACTTAAATTCTCCTGGCCTACTCTTGAGCCCTTGCCTTTCTCCCCAAGATGCCAGAGACATTGATGGGGTTTTGGGAGAAAATATTTTACTAGCAACAAAGAGAAAGGGGTTAAAGCCAGATAAACTTAGCATAAGGGGGTTATAAGGCCCAGGAATTTTACTGTAAGATAGCCCTAAACTAGGAGATTTTTCCTAAGCCAGCCTGGCCCTTTCCTATCTAACTAGTTATCTCAGCTGGTACATGGCTTTCCTAGCCGGCTCTCCCACCCTTACTTCCAACACCTCTCAGTTCAAGGCAGGTATCCCTTCTCAGCTTCTTACTGTTTCTTACACCATCTCCTATCTCCATGTCTTTTGTACTGGCTGCCCCCTCTGTCTAGAATGCACACCCTCCTCATCCTCACTCTTGAGTTCCTTCAAGATTCAGCTCCAGGGTCAAAATCAACATGAGGCCTTTCCTAATTCCCCTCCCCAGACGCTGTGCCTCCCCCCAAAAAAAATACTTTGTAATTATTTTGCGCATATCAATATAAATATACATGTGTGTATAGATATATAGTCTCCTCTGATAGAATATAAGCTCCCTGAGGATGGGAACTGTTTCATTTTTGTCCTGGCATCCTTGCATGCCTAAGCCCAATGTCTGGCACATGGTAATAAATACTTATTGAACTGATTGACTGGGGAATGCACTCTGTCCTCCACATTTGATATACCTGACCAGACTGCCACCAGCTTGGTTCAATGAAACATCTCCTGCCTGTGTCCCCCTAGTTCTCTAATCCCCCTGAGCTCGGACATCAGGAGGCTAGCCTCCATCTTTCCCCACAAGCTAATGATCCCGTCCTTGGATCTCCTATTTCCATTTAACAGTATGCTAGCATTTCACATGGAAAATGAGGACAGAGTCTGTCTCCATCATGGTGGAGATCACAGAAGCCAAAGAATACAGCCCAGGTTGTCCTCCCAGATTTGGCACAAGAGACTTTGGAGGCCAGCTGATCTGACCTCCCTCATTTTACAGATACGGACACTGATGCCCAGAAAGGTACAAGTACTAAGTTTGCAAGGTCAAAGGTCCAGGTAGTTAAGCATCACAAGTAGGATTTGAACCCTGGTCCTCTCACTCCTAATCAACTCTCTTTCCACCACTCCAAAGATCTGGTCTAGTCTAAACTACTCCAGAAGTCTACAAAGGCTGGCCAAGAATTCCTCTCTTAAAGGATCTTCTGAATCAAACTCAATCCCACCTGTGTGACCTCCCCCATCCTCACAGAGTCCAAGCGCCCCCTCACAACTTTAGGATTACAAGGATCCCTCTCTGTAACAAAAACCTCTTCCCATCCTCTTTTCCCCAAAAACATTTTAGTAAATAAGGCGAGCAAACAAATGCTACCGCTGCCATCCTTCTTCTCCTTCCCCCTGCCATCCTTCCCCGTCACACGGGCTGAACTTCAGATCCCTATGTTGCTTGGCACGGCGCACCCACCATGGGGATAGCTTTCCCCGCCCTCCCATCTGGGGGAGATAACTTTGCGTCTCCTGGATCTGTGCACATGCACAACACATTAGATTAGACCATGAAACTCACCAGCATTAGGACCATCTGCAGTGATTCTAATTTCTCATCTCTAGAGCCTTGGCTGAGTCCTTGCCATAAAACATGGTGATGATGAAAGGTATCAGGAAAAGACGGAAGGCATTAGGGAAAGATGATTTGGACCCAAGATCGTTTGGTCTTTAGTGGATTTAGAGAGGCTTCCTGGTGCCCTGAGCATTCTACTCAGTAACACAGGAGAACCCCAAGGTCTAGAACGGGCTTCTGAATCTGGGGTACATGAATAGATTTTAGATGGTCCATGACTTAGATGGGGGGAAAATTTTACAGCCTTTTTCCTCTAACCTCTAATTGAAATTCAGTGTTTTTTTCAACTGTTTAAAAATATTATTCTGAAAAAGAGGCCCTAGGTTTTACCAGACTACCAAAGACACAAAGAAAGGTGAAGAATCCTTGATCTCATTGAACCCTTCCGGATTTTCTTAGAAAAGACCTCTCAGCTCATAAAGACAACACAGCGTAGTAGATAGAGTGTTGGTTTTTGAGTCAGGAAGACCTGAGTTCAGTTCCCTACCTCTGACACCATGTGACCATGGACAAATTGTTTCAACTCTCTGAGCCTCAGTTTCTTTTTCTGGAAAACTCAGGGCGGGGTGGACCAACAAAACAATGAAAAAATGCTGCAAAATGATAATGGCCAAGCTTGGCCCCAAAGAAGAAAAATGTCTCTCCCAGCATCTTTGCAAGGGTGGGGAACTATGGATGTGGAGCACTGCATGCAACTGATGTAAAATTTTTTGGATATGTCCATTGGTTTTACTAAACTTTTTAGCTCTCTAGCAGCAGGAAGGAATATGTTGGTCAAGGTGAGATTTATAAAAAGAAAAGATAGCAACAAAAAATGAAGGTGGACTAGGTAGTTTCTAAGATCTGTTCCAGCCCTGAATCTCTGACTTGTTGATCCTTATGAGCTGGAGGGTCCATTACTCAAGAGAAAATGTCGGGGGGGGGGGCCTGAGGAGTAACCTGAGCTCTTGAAGCCATGAGGAGGAGAGCCCAGGTACAACATTGACCCTGCAAGCCCTGGAGATGCTGCCCCAAAGCTTGGGATTAAAGGAATTGGCCAACGTGTTTTCATAGTTATCATCCTGCCCCTACACAAGACATCCAACCATCCTTCTTTCAAGATTGCTTCCCTCTGTTGCTAGCACTGAATGCCCATGGAATCATGGGATCATGAGATCCAGGTGTCAAAGGGATTTTAGAGAACATAGGATCATTATTTTAGAGCTCAAAGGGACTGCAGACATTTACTACAACCCCCTCATCTTACAGATGGGAAAACTGAGATTCAAAGAGACCAAGTGAATTACCCATGGTGATGTAGGTAGTGGGTGGCAGAACCAGGATTTCAACCCAGGTCATAGGATCTTATAGTTAGAGTTGGAAGGCACTATACAGGACATCTAGCCCGACCCTACCACTCCCATTTTACAGATGAGGACAATGACACCCAGAGGGGAAGTGACTGTCGCAGGTCACACAGGTGGTACATAGCAGAGCTACAATTTCAACCAAGGCTCTTTGGCTCCAAAACTAGCCCTCTTCCCACTGCACACATCCAATTGCCTCCCATCAAGTCTTACAACGGAGTTGGAGGCTGCCGACTTATTTTCCACACCCAAATCCACTTAGAAATGGCTGCCGAGAAGCACCAGTCTTGGCCAGGAATCAAAGCTGAGGCCAGTTCAAGCCAAGAGGCAGCCATCACCAGTGTCTGGCCCTCCTCTGCAGCTGGTATGCACCATAAAGACAATTTGGAAACATGGCAGCTCATTGAACCATGGGAAGTACAAAACATGGGAGAGAGCCCCTTGAATGAGTCAGGGACTTGTCCTTGGGGATGGAAATCATTCACCTTGGTCTTCCATTAATTTATTATTGAGGCGAGTTTTCTACATGGTATGGGTCGCCAGGCTTAAATAGGGAAAGAACACCTGGCATTTTATTTCTGACTTTTTTCTTTCCCTATTCACCACAGCCTGGCTTCACTCATGACTCCCCACTAAGACACCAAGAGCTGAGACCATTCTCCTCCAGCCGCCTACCCACTATGGTGAATCTCCTCAACAGGGCATGTCTCTTACCGTCCAATTCTTCCACTGAGATGTTAGCAAGCTGCTCACTGTCACTGCCTGCAGAGAGGGACCGATTCAGGTAATTCCCCTTATACAATAAGCCGGCTGTCACATGATGGAACGGCATCTTCTCCCTGCTCAAAAGAGATGGGGGGAAGGGGAAAAAATTATCATTTCATCCCTTTTTTTTTTCCATTGTTTAATGCCTCATAGAACATCAACTCCTTGAAGGCAGGGACAATTTCGTCTTTTTGTCTTTGTATCGCCAGCCTAAAATAATGCCTAGTACATAGTAGGACCTTAATTAACGCATGTTGATTGTCTTCTCCTTTAGAATGCAATCTCTCTGAGGGCAACGACTCTCATTTTTGTCTCTATATCCCCAGAACCCAGCACAGTGACTGGCACACAGGAGGCACTTAATAAATGTTTGGCGACATTGATTAAAAGCCTTAAAGGGTCATCTGATCATAGATTTAGAGTCAAAAGGGACCATAGACATGATCTATTCCAGTCTTCTCATCTTACAGATGGAAGAAACTGAGAAGGCCCAGGTAGGGGATTAAAAAACTTACCCACCATCACTCAAGTAATAAGTGGCAAGGGTGGTATTCAAATGCAAGACTTATGACACCAGATGCAGCCCTCCTTCTATGTGTTTCCTCATAGACACAATGAGCACATGGGTGGACATAATCATCTCTCAGGACCCCTCTGGCTCTGAATCCTTGGATCCTAGCCAGCACTGCCATACTCTTCAGATAATGGCAGGTGGGACTGGACAATTACAGAGGAAAGGTCAGAAAAAAGCCTGACTACTCATGGACTGAACACTCTCCAAGTTGCTTCAGTTTCTAGCCCTATCTTTCCCTCTTTTAGTCCCTCCATTTTTAAATTTTTTTTCTGAAAAAAAAAAGTCATTCCCTTTCTATTAAAGACATTGAGATGGGTTTTTTTTTTTCCTTTTGGACCATCTCCGTGATTTCTTGAAATGGTCTTCCCTTGCCTTCCATGTTCTGCTTTCCATTCTAGTTCTGCTTTCACCTCTGACCACTATTTGGTCACAGCCCTAGAGTGTGGGGTTTAGGAGGGATTTCAGAGGTCATCTCATCCAATCCCTACACAAATGATAAGCCCCATGTTACAATAGCCCCCAAGTCTGAATATCCACTTTTGGTGAGATGACTGCTGTTAACAAAAATAATAGCTATAACAGCTAACATTAATATAGAGCTTACTTACTATGTGCCAAACACTATGCTAAGTGCTTTTAAAATGAGCTCTAGCTGACAGAGGACAGGCAGGGACCCAGCTGAAGTCTCCCAACGTTTGCCTCCAAACAATTTTAAAATGCCGCCTCAAATCAAATTTTGGAGCGGCAGAGCCAACAAAAGGTCAGAGGGAGACATTTTTCCAGCCTAAGACAACTTGGGAAGTCCACAGAAAAGGTCATAACACCGGGGTAGGTGCAGGTCTGGAGCACAGCAGGAGCACCAGGAGTGGGCTTGGAGGCATCTGGGACAGCAGCAACAGCAGCTTCAGGAACTCTCAGCCCAGAGGTGGTAAGGGGATTGGACAATGGGTCAGAAAGAGATTACAGGGGACCTTTTGCTGGCACTGCGTACAGCTGGCGTTGACCAGCAACTCTATTGCCCACATATAGTTTTGGAGTACAGTTCCAGGATGTAGAGAATCACTTGTGATCAGTCACAAAGGAGCAGGGGACCTGGTCACAATTCCAGGGCCAAAAGAAGCAATAGTACTTGCAGGGAAGCAGGAGCCCTTCTTGGGTAAAGACCAGAACACTGACCAGGACAGCAGTGACCACACCTCTCCCAGGATAACACCATCTTGGAAGCACAAAAAACTTGCAGACCCCCAGAACTAGCTCTGAAAACAGCAGCACAAAAAAAGTCTAAAGCTTGGCACAGTGCCTCCCCACCCCCAGGTGAGCAGAGCCCAACTTTAATATAAAATTCAAAGTGAAGAAATAGGCCGGGGAAATCGGCAAACAACAAAAAAAGAATTTGACCATAAAAAGCTACTATACTGTCAGGGAAGACCAAGACATAAACTTAGAAGAAAACAACAATGTGAAAAGAGTTACAAGCAAAGCCTCAAAGAAAATGTTAATTAGACACAAGAAGAATACCTGGAAGAGTTAAAAAAAAAAAAGCATTGCTTGGCAGAGGAAAATCTGGGAAAAGAAATGATAGTGATGCAAGAAAGCTATGAAAAGAGAACTAACAGCTTAGTAAAAAAAAATACTGAAGAAAATAGCACCTTAAAAAAATTGGCCTAATGGTAAAAGAGCAACAAAAATTTACTGAAGAAAAGAATTCCTTTAAAAACAGAATAGGCACAATGGAAAAAGAGGTACAAAAGCTCACTGAAGAAAAGAGTTGCTTGAAAAATAGAGCAAGGGAAAGCTAATGGCTCCATGAAGCTTCAAGAAACAATAAAGCAAAGTCTAAAGAATGGGGAAAAAAGAAGAAAAATGTGAAATATCTCATTGGAAAAACAACTAGCCTGGAAAATAGATTGAGAAGAGAAAATTTAAGGATTATTGGATTATCTGAACATCGCAATAAAAAAAAGAGCCTAAACATCATATTCCAAGAAATTATAAAGGGAGAAAGGACCACATGCACAAAAATATTTATAGCAGCTCTTTTTGTGGTAGCAGAGAATTGAAAATTGAGGGGATGCCCATCAAATGGGTAATGGCTGAACAAGTTGTGATATATGATTGTGATGCAATATTATTGTGCTACAAGAAATGATGAACAGAGGCAGCTAGGTGGCACAGTGAAGAGAGCTCTGGCCTTGGAGTCAGGAGGACCTGAGTTCAAATCCAGCCTCAGACACTTACACTTACTAGCTGTGTGACCCTGGGCAAGTCACTTAACCCCGATCGCCTCACCAAAAAGCAAAAAAAAAAAATGATGAACAGAATACTTTCAGAAAAACCTGGAAAGACTTAAATGCACTGAGGCAAAGTGAAGTAAGCAGAACTAGGAGAATATTTTACACAGTAATAGCAACACTGTATGATGATCAACTGTGAATGACTTAGCTACTCTCAGCAATACAATGATCAAAGACAATTCTGAAGGAATTGGGATGAAAAATGCTACCTACCTCCAGAGAAAAAGCTGATGAAGTCTAAATGCAGGTCAAAGTATATTTTTTTCAACTTTCTTTGTTTTTCCTAGGGTTTTTATCTGTGTTTTCTTTCACAACATGGCTAATATAGAACTGAGCTTTGCATGATTTAATGTGTATAACCAACTGCTTGTCATCTCACGGAGGAGAGGGGAGAGGAAGGAAAGAATTTGGAACTCAAATTTTTTAATGAATGTTGAAATTGTTTTTTCATGTAATTGGAAAAAATAATATATAAAAATACAAATAAATTTATAAAGGAAAACTGCTCCAATATCTTAGATCCAGAGGGTAAAAAAAAAAAAAAGAGAATCTGCCAATCACCTCCTGAAAGATATTAGAAAATGAAAACTCTGGGAAATATTATAGCCAAATTCAAGAGCTCCCATGTCAAGAAAAATATATTATAATCAGACAGAAACAAACAATCCAAATATGAAGCCACAGTCAGGCTCACACAAGATTTAGCAGCTTCCATGTTAGTTGAGCAGAGGGCTTGGAATATAATATTCCAGAGGGCAATAGAGCTAGGATTACAACCAAGAATAACCTACCTGGCAAAACTGAATATAATCCTTCAGGGGGAAAGTAGATACTTAATGAAATAAAGAACTTCCAAGCATTCCTGATGAAAAGACCAGAAGTGAATAGAAAATTTAACATTCAAACAGAAGACTCCAGAGAAGCATAAAAAGGTAAATATGAAAGAGTAATCATAAGTGACTCAATAGATTTAAACTGTTTACACTCTTATATGGGAATATGATACATGTAATCCCCAGAAACATTTATCATTATTAGGGTAGTTAGGAGTCTGCATAGATAGAGGGGATGGGGTTGATTATGTTGGGATGATCTAAAAAAATGAAGAGGTGAAAAAGAGGGATCCACTGGGAGGAGGGTAAAGGGAAAGGTAGAATGGGGCAAATTTTCTCACATAAAAGAGGTGTGCAAAAAAGAACTTTTACAGTAGAGGGGAAATGGAGGGTGGCAGGCAATGCTTGAACCTCATTCTCATCAGAATTGCTTCAAAGAGGGAAGAATGTGTGTGTGTGTGTGTGTGTGTGTGTGTGTGTGTGTATTTCATACATATATACATGGAGGGATGGGGGTGGGTGTATACATACATGTATGCATATACACATAAACATATGTGTATATACATACTCACACAGTTGAGTATAGAAACCTATCTTACCCAATAGGGAGTTAGGAGGGGAAGGGGATAAGAGATTTGGGAGAGGATGATAAGAGAGAGGATGGATTAGGGGAAGCAGTGGTCAGAAGCAAGACAGACTTTTGAGGAGGGATAGGATTAAAAAAAGAGAGAGAGAAGGATAAAGAAAGGAAAATGGGATGGAGGGAAATAAAGAGTTAGTGATCATAAGCTGTGAATGTGAATGGGATGAGCTCACCCATAGAATGGAAGCAGAGCAGTTATCAGAATGGATTAGAAACCAGAATCCAACAATATGTTGTTTACAACAGACACACTTGGGACAAAAAGACACACAGAGTTGAAATGAAGGACTGGAGCAGAGTCTATTAAGCTTCATCTGAAGTGAAGAGGGCAAGGGTGGAAACCATGATCTCAGACAAAGCAAAAGCAAAAACAGATGTAATTGAAATCGATAATCAAGGAAACTACATTTTGCTAAAAGGCACCATAGACAATGAAGTAATAGCAAAAATATTTACAGCAAGTCCCTCTGATAAAGGCCCCATTTCTCAAATACATAAAGAACTGAGTCAAAATAATAAAAAATGAGAGTTATTCCCCAATGGATAAATGGTCAAAGGATATGAACAGGCAGTTTTCAGAGAAAGAAATCAAAGTTACATTTAGTCATATGGAAAATGCTCTAAATCACTACTGGTTAGAGAAATGAAAATTAAAACAGCTCTGAGATGCCACCTCACATCTATCAGAAATGACAAATGTTGGAGGAGATTAGGGAAAATAGGTACA